GTTAACCTGAACTTGTAAAACTTTTACGTTAATTAATTTCGTAATTTTTTTAAAAATTTACTTTTTATGTTGATAATAAGTTTATAATAAATAAGTTTTACATAGATAATAAGTTTTTATTCAAGTTATGGGGTTTTTTAAAGTTTTTTAAAGTAAGTTCCTTTTTTTTTATATGGTTAAATTCTTCCTTTTTTGAGCAATAGGTTTCTTTTTTCTAAGTAATAAGTTTCTTTTATGTGAAGAAATAGCATCCCAAAGCCACAAAGTCTTTAGTGTCAGACGATCCCTAAATTATTGAATTCTTTTGACACCAGAAACTTTGTGACTTCGGGATGCTGTTTTTTTACATGAAAGAAACTTATTATTTAGGAGCAAGACACCTATTACTTGAAAAAGAAAGAATCTAACCATTTGAAAAAAAAGAACCTACTTAAAAAAACATTATTACTTGAATAAAACTTATTATTTAGTGAACGGAGTTTCCGACACCCGACATCTTCTATTGTCGTAGTTGTTTGGCAGGCGACACCCCGGGTCATACAGTTCTGCCAGGGAACACCACATTGTGGCCCTTCCATTGGCTTTATATTTTTCTTTCTAGCTGTAGGAATCTTATTCCTTTCAATCTCCTTCTTTTCCTTTCCGTATAAACTAGTCAAACATGGAATATATTTCCACTTTTTCTCCTCATTATTACTTCCAGTTTTAGTTCAGTATTTACTCCTTTTACTAGTATTTTTTAAAGTTATCTTAGCTTCTGAACAACTGCACTTTTTTATCATTCCCACAGGTCACTTAAAAGTTTAGCTCACTTTTGTGGAGTTCATCTGGATAATTTCCAGATTCCTCCATTTTGCACAGTAGCATTGCGCCAAATCTGCTCGAATTTAGTCATAATTTAAAGATTTCGTTACCAAAAATTCCACACCGAATTGGAGTTGGAAACGACTATATAAATATATATATATTTATATATATAATAAGTTACAGTGATAAGGTGGATAATAAACTCTATATTGTACTGAGGTAGTTTCAGCTCCTTGGTTTTTTGTCGTTTATATTAGCAATCTGCTCAGACCGTAATGTTACTACAGCCGCCTGGACAGAACATATATCGTTTGCTGCCGCTCTCATTTCATTTGGCCTTCTTCTCGGATACGTTTGTTTTCCACATTTAACGCTAAGGGATGAACAAACCAGAGAAGGACTTATTGTTGTGGTAAAGCTTTCTATTAATATTTTTACACTGCTTTTTAGCACTTAAACAATGCATTGAAACCTTTTTAGTTCTGCACGTTCGCATTGCATCTGTTTCAAATTTTTCTGCAGCGAAAAAGAAACATTTCAGGAACTGATCTTCTACGGGATATACACATTGTTATTCTTTATAGCAATATGGTTGATGGTTCATTTGTCAGCAAGTTGGATGACATATGGGAGAGGATCAGCCATTATTGACGCTGTTAGTTTACTGTTTACGCTTGATCATATTGGATCAGTTTTTCTGCTTGCTTTCTATTAAATTTTACTGTTCTAGGACAAATTTAGGATTTTTACAAATGAACTCGAGAAGCTTCATGGTGCAACATTTGTTTAGATTTTATGTGTTGCGTTAACACTTATATTCGGTATTGAAACGGTGATGAAGTTTCGTGCATGGAAAGGAGAAAATGTTTCACAGTCTACGGTTCTGGAAACTGCAGGCGCCAGCAGCAAGACGCAGTCTCGGCGTGTTTATGCGAGTGATCTAGATCAGCCTCCTCATATTTTTAGCGGTGAAATACGCGAAATTCGCAGAACGCAGGGACCAGAAGCTCAGTAAATTGCAAAAGTTTGATGTGCTAACATCGACAAGCAAGATAATGACGCAGACTTATTGAAAGTAAAAAAGCAGAAAGGATCCTTTGTTTTTTATTCAATAAATTAGCAGGTTTTGAGCCATCAAAGAAATACGCTATGTATTTTCCCTTTTACTTTTTACACAAACGTTGTCATCAATAATATCTGCATAAGTAAATTCTGCTGTCAACTTAAAAAAATTTACAAGAAATTGCAGAGTTGGACAAAACAGCTTTTAGCTGCGAAATATGAATATTTTAAAGTCAAGAGACGATACAAAACCAGCAAACAGCTTCCAGGAAAATTCACTGTTTAGAAAGTTTACTTTTTCATAGGAGGAAGCTTAGCAAAAGTTTTTTTATTTTTTACAGGAAGAAGCAGCATCACTACACAACCAAGTACTTTGAATAAACTGAATTTTAGATTGGCGTATAAAAGTAGTTTTTTTATTTATTAGTACGCAAACAATTACGCCAAACTTTGAAGAAGATGGAACTTTGGCAGGTTTTTCCAATTGCAGTTATAAAAAAAAAACTAAATTTTTTTAGCACTAAAATAACTGTAATCAATTAGATATGGATGTTGTTTTTTGTATAAGAATATTTCTAGAAAATCTGTTTTTGACTGTTCAATTTCATCAAAAAAGTTTGTGGAACAGAACATGAGAGGTGAAGCTGTACTT